AATATTTGTCGATCAGACAGCAGAAACGCGAGTAATCAAAACTACAAGACATCTTCCCCTTCCGGGGAAAATATTCCTGGAGAGGCTTTCCGATTCAGCTCCGGTCTCGAAGAAGAGCTTCACTGGCGACGGCGCCGCTGCGATGCAGTTATTCGAACTCTCCGTCAAACGCATCGTTTAAGCGTAAAAATGGCTTTAGGCATGAAGCGCACCGTTTCTTACGAGTAGAATCGGTTCAAGTTTGCGCGCGGTCATTTTGCGTAACGGAAATTCACCGCCACTTGTATGCCGGCGTCGTATGAAATCTCTTTCGTAGCTTCACTGATCCAAAAATGCACCGCCGTAACCTGTCTAAAGAAAGGGCGGCAACTCCACGCTCTGATCCTCACCAACGCCGTGGCTCCTGTCTGCCACCAATCCCCATATCTGCACAACAATCTCCTTTCTATGTATGCGCGCTGCAATTCCCTCGAGGATGCCAAGCAAGTGTTCGACAAAGTGCCCAAAAGGAATCTCGTGTCGTATAATGCGCTCATTGCAGCGTATTCTCGAGCACCGGACCATGCGGATAAGGTCTTTGGGTTGATTACCCATATGGTGTTTGAATGCATGAGACCCAATGGTTCGACTTTCACGAGCCTGCTCCAAGCAGCTTCTTCGGTCGAGGATCCGCTGATGGGTTCTTCGCTGCACGCGCAGGTTGTGAAATTTGGCTTTTTGGATGTTGTTCGTGTTCAGACTTCGTTGCTGGGGATGTATTCAAATTGTGGGGATTTGGAATCCGCAAGCAAAGCTTTTGGCTGTATAAGTGATAAAGATGCTGTTGCTTGGAATTCAATAATATTGGGGAACTTGAAGAATGATAACATAGAGCAAGGACTACGGATCTTTTGTGAAATGGTGAGCTCTGGTGTTATTCCTACCCAATTCACATATTCAATGATTTTGAATGGTTGTAGCAGGATGGGAAATCATAGATTTGGGCAGGTCATTCATGCCCAAGTAATTATTTCAAACACCGAAGCAGATTTACCCTTGCAAAATGCGCTTCTTGACATGTATTGCAACTGCGGTGACCTAGAAACGGCATTCTATGTATTTAGCAGAATTGAAAATCCCAATTTAGTCTCTTGGAACTCAATTATCTCTGGCTTTTCAGAAAATGGAGATGGAATGATGGCCCTGCATCTGTTTATCAGGTTAAAGAGTTTCTCTCTCCCTAAACCAGATGAGTATACTTTTGCCTCGGTTATTTCCGCAGCTAGTGCACTCCTTGCTTCTAATTATGGGAAACCTCTTCATGCCCAAGTCATAAAGGCTGGATTTGATCTTAGTGTCTTTGTAGCAACTACTTTAGTGTCCATGTATTTCAAAAATGGGGACGCTGAATCTGCAGAAATGGCTTTTAAAAGGATACTAAAGAAAGATGTTGTTCTTTGGACTGAAATGATTATGGGTTTTTCAAGAATGGCTGATGGGGAGGGTGCAATGAGATTATTCCTTGAAATGTGTCAAGAAGGGCATATGATAGATAGTTTTGCTCTCAGCGGAGTAATAAGTGCCTGTGCAGACCTTGCAATGTTAAAACAAGGTGAGATGATCCATACTCTTGCCATAAAAACAGGACAGGATGTTGAAATGTCTGTTTGTGGAAGTCTGGTAGATATGTATGCAAAAAATGGTGATCTTCATGCTGCTGAATCAATATTTTTCCCACTTTCAAACCCTGATTTAAAATGTTGGAATGCAATGCTTGGAGCATATAGTCATCATGGAATGGCAGAAAAAGCGTTGAAGCTATTTGAGGAGATTCTGAAGCATGAACTAAGACCAGATCATGTAACCTTTTTGTCTCTACTATCTGCCTGCAGCCATGGTGGCTTTATTGAAAAAGGCAAGGTCTTTTGGAATTACATGAAAGAAGATGGATGTGTACCAGGGCCAAAGCACTATTCTTGCATGGTAAGCTTGCTTGGTCGAGCAGGGTTATTGGATGAGGCAGAAGAAATAATTAATGAATCACCATATAGTAAAGATCATCTTGAACTCTGGAGAACTTTGCTAAGCTTTTGTGTAACAAGCAGAAACTTGGAGAAAGGAATACATGCAGCAGAGCAGGTTCTAAAATTAGATCCAAAAGACAATGGGACACACATCTTGCTTTCAAATCTCTATGCTGTGACAGAGAGATGGGAAGGTGTTGCAGAAATGCGGAGAAAGATTAGAGGATTGATGTTGGAAAAGGGTCCTGGACTAAGTTGGATTGAGGCTAAGAATAACATTCATGTATTCACTTCCGGAGATCAGTCACATCGCCAAGCTGATGAAGCCCAAGCTGAACTGCAAAGGCTACGAGAAAATATGATAAAATCAGTAGAAGATGAGTTGGATTTGAACATTGCTGCATAAGATGACAATGATCTGCAGTCGGTTAGCAAGGCTGAACCTGGAGTAAAATACTTTGCCCACCAAGAGAGGACTGAAGATTGGGCATAATGAACGGAGATTGGCACTTTTTCAGTTTGATACCAGCATTCAAGAGCTACAAACTTTTGGTCTAGCAATGCAACTGCAAAGGGACAAACAACACATCTTCATTGTCTAAACCGTCAACGAGTTATGCTGTTCATTCAATCCACAGTTGAGATTGGGCGTAATCAGGGTGGGTACATTACCATCAAGCTTGAGTTCAGATTTGGAATACTGATGGTGTGTAATTTGCAAACAATTGCGAATATCCAAATCGCAAATTGCTGTGTTTCCTGAAGTCTCGCTAGTTGTAGCTGTGCATAGTTGAGTTTTCCGTAAGCTTGAAAATTTTAAAGGTAATAAACAGATAGAATTGTTTTAGGTAAATATGAACAGACACGTTATCATCTCCAACTCCAAAGCGATACTCTAAAGCACAGCATAAACAGGCAATAGTTTTCCACCAAAATGAAGTTAAATTCTTCTCAGATAGCTTGGAAATGAAGTGGTTGTAAGATGACCCCTGACCCCCATCACAATAGTACAAGTACAGGAAAAATCTGCCTATTCTAAAATACATTCAAGCAACAATCTGAATAGAAGCTGGCCTTGCAAGTTTTCTTGTTCTTTGGGACGACAACTACAAAACAGACCTACTTACAACAGTATTCTACAATGTTACAGAAAATAACATGAGTCTCACAACATCTTTTTCCAATGACGGAAAACAGGGGAATTAAGGTTGAATTCGGTGTTAGATTTCTTGGACTTTAACAATGAATCTATAGAAATGAATAAACACTCGAACAAATTGAGAGCACAGGAACTGATTGTTGAAATGGAACTTCACTGTTACACACAAACAATCACTTGACTAGTGCACAAGTTGCTTCTAAGTAGTGAGTTCCGTGTTCAATTAATGTGACTAGCGCCGTGGAGTTCGAGATTTAGGCCTTGATGATTTCTGCAAGAACAAATGAAATGTTGTTAAGGTTAGTGATTACCCCAAGGGGCTCAATACCGTACAAGGGAGAATATATCTCCTTACTAGTCGACCAAAAAGCAGAAAAAAAAAAAAGGGTAAATATTTTACTCACAGATGCAGCCCCTAAGCTAGCACCGGACCCAGTAGCAGCACCTGCAAAAAGTGAACTAATTAATTCAGACAAACCAATAATACTTGGGAAAATTTTAAGAAATTCAAAAGTAACCAATGAAGGCCACTCATGATCTTGAAGCTACATAATACTGACTGAAATATAAATACACCAAAAAAAAGACGGTAGCCACTCAACAAAGAACTTCTAGCTAAGATTTTAAAATGATATTCCTTTAAAGAAAAACATCTAGAATTTATTGTAAACCAGAACAGGTATACCTAGCCAGCTTCTGATCCACTGACAGTACAATGTCTAGAAGTCCTAGTGTGGGTTTATTAAGTTCACATACAGTCAATATGTTATTATCAAACTTCAGAACCAATACTTGTACAACATAAAAGCCAGACTAAGAAAAGAATCTAACAAATCATAAGAGTTTACAAACTTAAGAAAATATGGATATATCAATTGCCTCAAAGCTGGTAGAATTGTAGAGGATTCCTTATATGGTTCTGTTCTCCCTCAAACCTGATGCTTCTATGACAGAGCTTACACTGAATATGATAATAATCCGCATTGGAAACATTTTCATTATACATACTGTTAGAACATTTACTGTACCCAAATTTATGACATGGCCAAAACAAGATCTAGCATGCCTCTCAATGCTATCATTCAAATGATATGGACAGACTCAATGCAAACAAGAACCAATAATCATTCCCTATTTTCAATTCAAGAACCTAAGACTATTTCTATTATGTATAAAACAAAATACCATACCTGAAGCAAATGGGGTTGCAAAAAGTGAACCTCCAGCAGAGGGGGTAGAGCCAAAAGCTGGTGTAGTGCTACCAAACAAAGAGGGTGTTGAAGCAGGCCCCAAGAGAGATCCTGATGAGGGACTGAAAAGGGATGACTGGGCAACAGCTGTGGTTGGTGTTGTAAACAAAGAGGAAACAGAAGCAGAGGATGGTGTACTAAAAAGAGAAAGACCACTCCCCGAAGCAGCTGAAATGGTAGCTGCAGATGTCTGTGGGGCAGTTGCCACCCCAGGGGTTGCTGATTTGGAAAATAATCCAGCAACCTGGGTTGATGGTTGTGAATTTGCACCTAAATGCAATGTTGGATGTACCCTCTTAGCAGCGGCTTCTTGTTTGGCTGTTTCTCGCCGATCCGCAGCAAGAAAAGGATCATTCCCATCCCCTTGCCGTCGCTGATCAGCAAGATAAGCTGTTTTCATGGATTCAATGTACTGATGAATGCTCTCCACCTAATGAAGACAAGGTGTAGAATCCATAACAGGTCCCAAGAAAAGCATCAAACAGCATCCCTCTGTGTGCATGCACGTGTGTGTGTGTGTGTGTGTTTGGAGGATCAATATGTGCAACTATTCATACTAAACTAAGTAAACATACATTTGACCAAAAGATGATTGATCAAATATCATACACTTGATATTTTATTATTAAAAATGCTTCATTTCTAAAGTACATTTTTAGAACCCAGAAACTGGTTGGTGAAGGAAGTGCTAAAATCAATTCAATTACCAAAAGTTCCCAATAGCCATTGGAACATGAGATCCATGATCACAGGCACTCAGATACATATATTCATGCACAACAAAGAATCATGCTCTCAACTAAAAAATCAATTTAAAAAATTATGAACAACTGTATATACTAATGACCCTTAGCACATATATAAAAATACCAAGCTCAACATGAAACAGTGAATTCTGCATGAACTTGAAGTCTTCTATACTGTCTAAATAATATAATAAAAAATGAACAATGCATCAAGAATGCATATCAGCACATATCTTCTTTACCTTAGCAGCCACATGAATGAAAAAGTCATGAACATTTGACATAACTTTTGGAAGAGACTGCAACAATGAGTATCCATTGTTCATAGAGTTCCTATCAGAATCCAAAAGAAGCAATTGCTCCAATTCTTCAATCCACTGCCGGCACTCAGCCAAATACTTTTCAAATCTGGCAATTGTATGTTGTAAAAAAGGAGATGGCTTCTTTGGGATCCCACGGTAAAAATCAAAAACTGGGACCACAGAGGTGGCTGTCAGTTGAGTGCCAGAACCAGTTGTTGCTGTTGCCCCTGGAGCCTGAGAGGGCGCACTCGCATTTGAAGCACCTCCAGTGTTTGGATGAAGAAACCTTGGACGAAGCATCATAAAAGAATGAACAGCCACCTCTGTGTTCCGTAACATGTCTTTCACAACAGTCATTAGCTCCTGCAACCGTGATTTCTGCCGCTCCATGGCAGTACTGATTCCCCCAAGTTCCTTAAAAGCAATCACACTATAGTTTTTCAGTTACAACATACATGAAACACCAAACAAAGCAATAGCGCAATAGTGTTCAGAAGGAAAAGTTATCAACCAGTGGTTTACAAAAGAAATTATTTGGGAATTAGATGTTACATTGTTAGATTATCTATTGAAGCAGTTCCATTGTTAAGGATTAAAAAAACTGTCATAGAGGTATTACCTGGATTGTATTTTAAACTATCCAGTTAGCCTTCTGAAAGAAGATTGAACAAAATTTACACAGTTTAAATATTAATTGCAGACAAAGAGCCAGACATGATAAGCCACAGAATGGCGAGCAAGGGTCCAAATATAGCATTTTCTCTCCAAGAAAAAAAAAAAAAAAGAATTTGAGCTAGTTATCTATTGAATTAGTAGATTAAACAGGAAATAAACAAGCATAAAGCAATTGAGAAACAACAGTTACTATCCATCATCCTTCCAACTACTACAAAAGTTTGCATACATACATACAGGGAACAAAGAGTAAACCTGAACAATGTGACTTGCGTCAAGCTCAAAGCCTTCATTGGAAACTGAGGAATCATAAAGGCGACTACATTGGTCTAACCTCTGGCTCTCGTCCCTGTACTCCAATATCTTCCCCCTACATTTGCAAGGCACTTGTGCAGCTCAAAACCCATATCATACTTATCCCTAATCTCAACCCAAAATATAAATCACAAAGATATCATAAAAACCAAATTCAAGTTCCACGTTGGCCTGAAAAACAGTATTAACCCCTATTCTTGCTTTCAATTGTTTACTTTTCCAGTTCTTTCTCTGCAATCAACAAGCAATCCCCCAAACAAAAATTGAAAAAAGAAAAAAAGACACCGAACGCACTCAATTTGAAGTAAAATCTTTTGAGAATCTGGGTGCAGATCAGCCCACTTGGTGCTGTAATTCGCAGGAGCCTTGTCATTAGTGAAAAGAAACTGTTGCTGCTGCTGCTGTGGCGGTTGCTGCTGCTGCTGCTGAAACTGCTGAAACTGCTGCGTTTGCTGTGGGAATTGTAGCTGTTGTTGTTGCTGCTGCAGCGGCGGTTGTGAGACGAAAGGATTGGTCTGTTGAAAAGGCTGCGGCTGTTGCGGCGTCGAAAACAGTGATTGGGGTTGCTGAGGCTGTGGAGTCAAAAACGAGAACGACATTTTGATTTATTTTCTCAACAATTGTCTAGGGTTTCAGAGGCGACATTGATTGAGGCGTTAGGTGAGGGATGAAGAACAAAACCGAAAAACACTTTCCAAAACCCTAGAGACTAGAGAGAGAAAATAGCCGTGGAAAGTGAAAGAAAAGAGAAGAGTTTTCCTCAAAAAAAAAAAAAAGAGAGAGAAGAGAAGAGTGTAGACCCGCCCGAATTTTTTTATTTTTTCATTAGAGGTAGGGGTGCAGGCGGCTGAGTGCATGGGCCAAGCCCGGCTAGGATCGGCCCGTCAAAATCAATATTAAAAATTAAAAAATTCACCCCAAGAAGTTCCAAGATTTTGAGGAAGAGTATGCACTGGACACGCATGGTGGAATGAGTATTTACATTTAGCTCTTTTAGCTCAACTAATCCTATTCACCTATTGTAAACTGCGTGAATTTCTAGTAAAAGTGACAAGTATGGTGTATTGAAGTTGTTTATACTTAAATGATAAGTAATTAAGAAAGGCTCTCATCTGAAAACTCATATATTTGAAAATTGGTTAAATATCAATTTTGGTCACTTAGTTTTAAGATTTTTATATAATTTTTATCCCTTAACATTTTTATATATTTTTATCCATTAACTATGAAAAATAAA